AGGAAGCGGCCAATCAAGGGGCTGCCAGACAGCACCTAATGGGGCAAGTCAGGTGATGGTGAGGTTGCAACACGTTCTCCGGGGAGATAATTTCGTGACCTTTACCACTGGGCCACTACCACTTCCTGATGATGAAACATCACTCCATATGCTACGGTTTTATCGCAAAAGGGGCATAACGGCTATCTGGCTTGGAGCTACTCTTATAATTCAATAAGATCCACCCGTGTGATTAGCTTTTCAACTTGTGGTCAACTAAGTCGTTGCTGGATTGCCAGTCTGTTTTGTGGTAAATTACTTATAGCTCTACTTGGCAGCGAATTAAGACGAGTGACTGACCATTTGTCTGAGGGAATGTTACGGGTCGGAAGAACGGGTAAAGGGAGAAGATTGAATGCGGAAGGCAAAGAGTTAAACAAAAGTTGAAAAGTCTGATCAGTGGCCCACTTAGCACCGCTGACCCCGCTCGATGCAATGGGCATCGCAGTCTTGATTATCCTGCGCGACTACGGATGCAGTATGGTTTTTGTATGCATTAGAGTTTTATGAACGGGTACTACTAGGGTGTCCGGCCATTAAGCAGGAGAACGATCAGGGTTATCAACCCAAGTCTTTGGTTCTGATAAGAACCTAACCACAAGGCAGCGGGTAGAGCGGAGTGGAGGCCCATTTGCTAGTATCAATTACTCTTCCAGCATTTTTACCGACTGAGACGCTAATCCAAGTCGAACCTCCAACCTGAAGGGCCAAGAGAGTGGGATTTGTCTGACCTCTGACCTTATAGGCATGATTAGACCTTCGGTTTGACAATAGCCATCCTTTGTAGCTCGTTGGGTTAGAGCGATGCTCAGGTCATCACACCACGTCAAGGTGCAGTCTATTCACCACAGCAGTGGCAATCTTGCCGTCACTTCTTATCAGGTTCGAATGCTTGAAATAATGTGTATGTGCAGTTGTATTGTGCTGACCATAGATGTTCGCTTTATTTTCCCGTCCATGAAAGTGGGCCCAACCCCTGTACCCACATTCTCACTTACCTTGTGTGCATTATGAGTTTAGCAACAATCAGCGAAGTTAGCTTCACTGTCCTACACTATACGATAATGAACATGATTGCTAACCTTCGTAGCACTGTAAACGTCATTTCTCAGGTCATGGCATTCAGTCCAATTGGTTTATGCTTTACTAAAAATATTCTCATCCTCGCTTCAGCTCTGGAGGATTCTAATGAGAAAACAGTATACCCTCCAACAGTCGATCAATCATATCCCGAGAGCGTTGGAAGTCAAATTGCATCCGATCGTACGGATAAGGTAAGATATTTAATGTATTTTGTGGTCTTTCATACAGTAACGCTCAGAAAAATTAGTTTTTCTTGTGGTAGACAACTATTTTGTTTTTCGGTATCCCAGTACACTCCGGAATCGCATCCCCAAGACTGTAGTTGATTTTCACTGCGTTTGATACAATGATGATTTCGTTGGTCGATTCTGTTGTGTGCTATAGTTCCAAACCCCTGATATTTTGTGAGGGTGATCAACAGCTTAAGCTCGATACCCAAAGATACTCATCACGTGTAGTCCAAATAAGATATCTGTTATTGCTTCGGGTGGTAGCAGAGATGCGTAAATCTAAAATGAATTATACTGCTAGAACTCGACTATATAGTCTACCGAGTTACTGCACTCTAATCAAAGTATTGTTTCATCCTGGTAGATAATCGTTTCTGCACCTATTATCATATTTGTCTCTGTCGAAGCCCGAATTTTCAGCAGATTGTATGATTGTTAATTCAGTTAGCCTACAGTTTAAGCTTCAGTTTACGAATAACTCAACTGATTTTCCTATAAAACTTATTGTTACTGGGATCTTGTATTCGTTTGAATACAAAGAACTACCTATGGTTCTCCGATTACATAAGAATCATCAGTCACGGTATAAAGTGATAATCCTGTAACAAAAAACGTCAAAAATTGTTTCATACTAGAATATTCGTACATGATTCCCTGATTCGTTTATTTCTGTTCATAAAAACAAGGACAAGATAAGGAATTGGTGAATACCTGTGCAATTTTTCTTCTAACTGGAAATTTGTGGAAGTATAATGGGGTACATGAATGAGGTTGGCAGACAGAGAGGTCGGTGTGCAAGGGATGAGGTTGCTCTTGGAAATTTTTCATGGCAAACTTGTCGTCAGTTTTAGCGTCAAAATCACCCATCAACTAACATATGCTGGAGTATTCCGGTTAAGTTTCAGTTTCAGTTTTTACAACCATTAGCCATGCGTTTTCGTGCATTGGTTTTGATTAGGGTCTTTTGGTCGTCCATTTGGATAAAAGACCAGAATGAAGATTAGAATGATGAGAGCAAATCAAAGCGGAAGACGGAGAATCAATATAGACTGGTGATAGGCGAATAATGTGGAGATGCGAAATTATTCCGCGGCACCACAGATGTGTCAAGTCGGTAAATGACAACCGAGCCTTTTGCATGCGCACCGACACTTCATCTGTGACCAACAGTATTTTGTCTATGACGAAATTGAACAGGAATGGAGAAATAAGGCACCCGTGACGAACACCGCCGCTGGTTTCGAAACGGCCTGATCAGCTCACAGCGAACCCTTACAGTACAGAAAGTATGCGACTAGAGTGAACTCAGTACGTTCACATATTCCAGCCGCACTCGTTTTCGAAGAGTCAACTCCATTGGGTTTTGCAGTCGAAAAGTCCTTCGAGGTCATGGAAGACCACAACCGTTGGTAGACCGTGTGAGTGGCGTAACTCGAGGACTTGACGCAACGTGAAGATTTGGTCGATACAACTACGACCTGGTCGGAGACCCGGTTGCTTTCCACGGATATTTATCTCCATGAAGGACGTAGGACTTCGAAATATGACGGAAGCTAATATTTAATGACGACTGGAAGCAAAATTATTCCGCGGTAGATTGCGAGATCCCTCCACAGACAGCCGGATATGGCGGCGGCACCACAGATGTATCACGTTGGCAAATGCCAACCGAGCTTTTTGTATGCGCACCGACACTTCATCTGTGATGCGTCCGCCAGGTGAGATATAGCTACCCATGTTGCAAAATTAATCTACTTCCCCAGTCAGAGTGAGGTTGGGGGCTGGACCAAACCAATCTTGTAACAACATTTTGCACTTCGAAAGTGCCAAACGCATACCGAACATGGCTACACTAGTACTCAAACTATTCAGAAAAGCTTGCAACTTGCAACCTGGATCTTGACTTAGTAGCACAATGTCGTCTGCATACTGAGATTAAATCGATACCGCTATCCTCGCACGAGGATAGAGCTGTTACAGTAAATAAATCCATGACAAAATTAAAGAGAATTCCTGTCGAACACACCTTTCTGTAGTGAACTCGAGTGCAATAGGTGCCGTATGCTCGGACTCGGCTTCCGGTATTAGTATAAAGATATCGTAATATTGAAATAAACCTGTCGGGCAAACCCGTTGTAGCGAGGCAGCGCTAGAGCTCAGAGCAGTCAACTGAGTCGAAAGCCGCTTCCAGATCGAGGGAGATAGAAATGGTGGGTCTACGAAAGGAGTGTCGGTGTTCTAGAATCTGAAGAGGAACGATGTGTGATCGATACAACCTTGCCCAGGTCCGATGTTTGGTAAACGGCGGATGTTTCTCGAACGGTGACGCAAAATTCCGATGTATTGTTGAACCATTCTCCTAATCACAGCTGGATTACAGTATAAAATGATGAGCAACATGGTCTGATGAACAAGAGAATAACACTGATTTCCTAAGAGGGCGTTTCCTATGCTTAGGAATCCGAAAAGAGCGATGTCAAACTTTGCCAACACAACACCATATGGGAGATCCAAGAAAGCAATCCTCCTGCGAAAAACCAAGATAGTAGATCAAAAAATACCAATTGTTTTGTCAGAGAAGTCTGAACTTGACAAAGGCGTCGTATGTTGAAGTTGTGTAAATTTCAGTAGCCTCAGTGGGATTCGAACCTACGCATGGGCACCGCCTACGCTTCATCGATTCCGGCTATTGGGTCACCATTTGTTCTAACTCGTCGTCATACGTAGTGTATAGTTAGCTGCAATACTAGATATTCATGAAGTATATAAACTAGCCAC